CCCTCAGTCAATTTAAGGATTGAGTTTTGGATTTTGTTTACATCTACCTCAGTCATATTGCCTTCTTCAGTTCTTTCTCTGATTTCTTGGCTGGTTTGTTGTTGGGATTTATTGGGTAGAGATGCTTTGTTAGAAAGTGTTTGTTTACTGTCTTCAGCTTCCAGGGATTTATGGAAATCCCCTTTTCTCCATCCCATGTTGTTTGCTGGAGTTCCAGAGATGTTATAATCAAGAATTAATTTAGCTCATTTACATTCTTCTTTATCGTTATTGGCTTCTTGCCTTTCTGGTCCTAATTTGGGAGTATTGGCTCATAGTGTTTCCTAACCTCATCCTTCAGTTTCCAGGTCTATTGGTTCCCATAACAGAGTCTGTCTGTATTCTCAAGGATCTTCGGCTTGGGCAGACCATTGACAATGGTATAGATAAGTATCCCGTGGGTGGGGGATCAATGGGAGCATGACTACATCACTTTCTGCACATCTGGAGTTCTTTCACCAGGGATCCTTGGGTACTCCATGTTCTGGCTTCAGGGTTGATCATTCAGTTTACATCACCTCCACCATTATCTGCACAACCTGTTGCCTTTTCACCTCCAACAGATCCATGGCAAGTGGAACTTGTTCCCAGGCCATAAGAGAGTTGTTAGTTAAAAAGGCAGTAGAGAGGGTCGATCCCATTCTTCCAGGATTTTATTCCTGTTTATTTGTTGTACCCAAGAAGACAGGAGATTAGCATTCAATCATTGATCTGTCTCGACTCAACCAATTTTTATATCCTTCTTGCTTTACAATGGAATCTTTTCTCAATATACAATGACAATTTGTGCCAGGGCTCTGTACAACCAGATTTGATGTTACCAATTCTTATCTCCATATTCCCATAGTAGAATCTTCTCAGTGCTGCAGTTTAGGGCTTTACCTTTTGGTCTTGCATCAACACCTTATGTCTTCTTCAGAGTTGGTCGAGCTGTGTCTCATCATCTGCATTTCTTGGACCTGTGCACACATCATTATATGGATGAATGTCAATCAGCAGAGCAACACTCTCAGATTCTCCTTTCAGAAGTCACAAAAGCAGGCTTCCTTATCAGACTGGAGAAATCTATTCTGTCACCGACATAATATCTCGTCCATCTAGGTGTGTTTTTCAATACTCACTTAAGTCATGCCCAACCAGTCCCTATAAGGCTTCAAGCCATGGAAAGGGCCATCAGGCTTTTACTCGTGTCTCTTTCTCTTACTGCATTGATGGTTCTCTCTCTTTTGTGGGTTGTTGGCATCCCTCAAGCCTCTCATTTCTTTGGGATGAGCGCATATGAGGTCCCTTCAGTGGTTAATGCGCAACCAATGGATCATGCATTCTGATCCTTTGGATCATCCTGTCTCATTACTCAGGAGCAACATCGTCGATTGCAATGGTGATTGGATTGGAAAAAAACACTACTATTGGGATACCCATTCCACCACCTCGTCCTGAGATCCATCTGTTCACAGATGCATCTCTTCAGGGATGAGAAGCTTATCTTCAAAGTAAGGAGTTCCAGGGTATTTGAATGGAAGACAAGCCTACCCTTCATATCAGTGTTCTCCAACTCATTGCAGTACACCAGGCAATGGTTCAAGGTCTGTCTCTCTTGAATCAAAAAATTGTCATGATACATTCCGACAATTCCATGGTGGTATCTCATATTTCTCTTCAAGGAGGCAAACATTCTCGAGATATTTGTTTTTGTACCTTGGATCTTCTCTACTGGGCTCATTCCCATCATATCAGTCTTTTAGCATGTCATGTTCCAGGAGTGATGAATTTAATTGCAGATCACTTGTCTTGATCCAACCAGATTCTTCCAATGGAATGGATGCTACATCACAAGGTTTTTCAGTGGATTTGCTCTCGGTTCGGGTCTACAACAATCGATGCCGTTGTTACTCATTGGAATTCTCAACTGCAGTTGTTTTGGTCTCTGATACCTCATCCTCAAGCATTGGCAGTAAGGACTGGACTGGACAAGTTTACATCTGTATGCCTTTCCCCTGATTCGGCTTTTGCCCCAAGTTCTAACTTTGGTTTGTTCCACTCCCTGTCAAATTCTCTTGGTTGCACCATATTGGCCAACTCAAACATGGTTTCCACTTATTCAGTATCTGCAGAAATGTCCACCTCTACCTCTTCCACATTGGCAGTCTCTGTTGAAACAACATCAATCAGACATTCTCCACCCAGATGTTTGGAAACTCAATCTTCATGCTTGGAAGTTATGCAGTCCTTTGCCCAACATAAGGGTTTAACTTCTAAGGTTTCTCTGTATTTAAGTAAATCTCTCCTTAGGCCAACCATGGCCATTTATCAAAGGAAATGGAATACTTACTGTCAGTGGTGTATTAAAAGGAATTTAATCCCTCTTCCTCCTAAAGTATCTACCATATCCAGTTTTATGACTTGAGTGTTTGAGAGGGGTCTTGCTTCATCTACAGTGGCTTTATATAAGGCATCCTTATCCACTATTTTTTGGTATTCCAAATATTGGAAGGTTTTTGAATCCTCAGTACTGTCAGGTCTACTCAAATCTTTTTGTATTCCTCGACCCAACTTACCTTTTCAATTACCGAATTAGGATTTTACTGTTGTTTTACATGCATTGTTTCATCCTCCCTTTGAGCCCTCAGCTTCGTGTTCTTTATTTCATCTATCTCTTAAATTGTATTTTTTTGTAGTTGTTGGCTAGTGGACATCATCAGTCGGAGTTGTTTGCAATCTATGTGCATCGGACTCTTTATCATTCCATATTTGTCCTGCTTTACCCTGATAGGTCTTTTCTTCCAAAGACTCTGACAACCAGGGAAGGGGAAGATCCTTCACATCAATCCATTTGCCAGCCATTTCTCACCTTTATGACTGCTCCAATCCTGGTCGTTTTTTTATGTTCTGTTAGGGCCATCAAGTGTTATGTGGCTCAAACTAACTAATTTTGAGGTAGTAGGAATCAATTGTTCATTCATTGGAATCCTTCTATTTCCTGTAATTTATCTCCCATTACTCTAACGAGGTGGCTTAATAAATTGATTCACATTGCCTATAATGGATTATCGTTACAGAAGAGGAATCTTTTGCATGTCACATTTCACCAGATTCGTCATATCTCTGTGTCATTAGCTGCCTGGTTGAATTGCCCTCTGGAAGACAATGTGTGGACCACTCCTATTACTTTCCTATCTCATTACTTACATGATCTGGCAGTTTCCTCTTCTGAGGATTTTCTACTACTCCCTGTAACTATTTTGATCACATCTGTTAGATTTTAACCAGAGATGACTATTTTCCTCAATTATATACTTTTTTATTTCCAGGATCTCTATTTTTCCCTGGATCCCATTCTATGGCAAGTGTTGCCCAGACATGTATGCTTCCTCTTATCAATTCTACACTAGCAATCACTTTCACTATAATTATTACAGGTTGCAGCAGGCTTTGTTGAAATGGGGTGTTCCATAAGACTATCTAGATGCCTACTGGATGGTATTTACCTTATTATTATGGACTGCCACTCATAGACTATCATGAGTAAAGCTAAAGAGGGATCCTGCCCATCACCTGCCAATCTTCAGGTTAAATAGATTGGGGTCTGTTTGATTTTAGAAATGTAGGGATTTTGGTTCACCTATTGCACAGTTTCCAGAGCACTGTTGGAGCACTGAGTGGGGCTTTGGAGTGCTTACCACCTCCAGTTTCCAGTTGCTGGGATGGCAGACAAAGGCTTTTCCTCCAGAGTGCTTGAGTGTGTTCCTCCACTGTTGGAGAAGAAGGCAAAGTTGGGGGCTGCATGGCAATTCTCTTTGATCAATGTCAGTTTTGTATATTGTTCATGGAAGGAGGTCCACTATTTCCTCATAATTCCGAACATGAAATGGTCCCATCCTAGGTCCTTGGTTAAGCACAGGTTCCACATCCTCTCCATAATCCCAGGGGCCAGCAGAATACTTCTTGCCCAATTGGTTGGAGAGTGAGGATGAATGTTCATAATTCCAGACTGGATGAGTTCTGTTCCTTTGGTTTAGTATGGCATACACGATCCCATCATTCCGAGCCTGGAGTGTCGTCTTTTGGACTTCTTCAGGTGGAGGAGAAAGTTTGTCCACTTCGGTGTTCCTTACTTTCTTGTCGTGATTCTGGTAGTGCAAAATGCATTCTCAATGGGTACAGGTTGGGATCCAATCAAAAGTATATATATATATAACATTCCAGTCCAATAGCCCTAGCCACCACGACCCTTAATTCCAACTCCTATTTGTGTAACTTCGGCTATCTGGTTGGGGCTGGCCTATACTGATGATTACTCATATTCTGTTCCACCTTTGGTATAGGAGCAGAGTTTCTGGTGAAGAACATACTTGTTCTGGATGTAGTGCAGTTCCACCACTCTTGTATCATATTTATCTTGATACACTCCTGTTCTATACAGATGCTTTCTGTATGGTTCATGCCTGCACTGGTCCCTCCACCTTCTCAGTATGGGATTCTAGCTATGGTATTAGTGTAGTTAAGTATGTTTTGGAAGTTAACATTTTCCTAAACTGAAAATGTATTTTAAATAATGCTTACCTCTGCTATCACTCTCCCACCCTACCTCCCCACTTAGTCAGTTTATGTCTCAAAAAGTGATTACATTATCTGAATGAGATCATATATACAGTACCTAGATAGTGGGTTCATTGAAGTTGGTGGAAAATTTTGCAAGTTTGAATTTGCCAAGGCATTTGAGCGAAGTATAAAAGACTGGAGCAAGTGTTTTCAATACTTAGATGGGCAAAGAGTGGAAACCCTGGAGATAGAGAAAAGGCTATAGTGTCAGCGGAGGTAAGTATTAATCAAAATACATTTTGAGTTTTGGAAAATGTTAACTTTGATAACAGTTAGTTATATTACCATTTTTGTTCCAAAGGTTTACAATCAAGGTTCACCACATCTTACTGTTTTGTACTTGTCCCTTAATTTACCCATAGTTTTCTACACCAAGCCACTTTTTCTCACCATCCATCTGCAATTGTGTCTTCTGTCCCCTTTCTCTTTACTTGCATCTTTCCTTCCATGATTTTTATTGCCCATTCTCCTCTGGATCTACACTTGCTTAGCATATGCAGGTTGAAAGCTTACTCTAGATGCATTCTTAAAAATAGGTTTGTATGGAACTGTTTCAAACAAAGTAGTTTTTACAAGTGTTATTCCTTTTTGAAAATGATGAAGAAACACAAATTTTCAGTTATTATTATTATTGTGCTTTTATAGAAATGTTGCACAAACAATTCTTGAAGGGGATGATTGGGAGAAAGCTTTAAGAAATGAAACAGATGCAAATAAGTTTGGAATTCGGCAGACCCCTCTGAGGAAGCTGATTGTTCACATGCCAAGTAAGAGCATTTCTCTCAGTAAGAGAAGCTACCACACAAACATATTGTCTGTGTTGTAAATTATATTGATGTATATTTGTATGTGAAGCAATATATGGTTTTATATATTTTGTAAATCACAAAGTTTAGCATGTAATCCATCATGTTGAAGAAACATAACTTTAACCAAATCTTCCTAAAAAAGTTGAAATTTTTCAGCACAAATGTATTTCATTTGTAGCTTTATGTACCATTAGTAGTAATAAGTTTTTTTAAATAAGAGCTTTATATAATAATGATGTAACATATAAATTAATGGAAGATATGAGAGAGAAAAACATTTGGTATAGCAATGCCTTTGTGATATAAGTTGTTTGTTTTTGCAAAACATAGAAATTATTTCTTGTTTTACTGTTTAAATGACTTATTTCATGTAAAGTTTGTTTTTGTAGAAAAACTTCAAATAGTCAACTTTGCTAACCCAATTCATTCTGAAACTGTTGTTACTATCTGTTCTAGTAATGTCACAATAACATATTTTATGAAGACTGTTGTTGCTGGCAGAAACTGTTCTTGTGCATACATATTCCATTTTATTTACTGTACAGAAATATTGTCCATAATTCCTAGGTGAATGTTTTAAAAATATTGCATTTTTATATGATTTTTTTTTAGTTTCTGAAAACATGCTAAAAGAAAATGTTCTCTAATGGTCAGTCTGATGATTTAACCCTCTCACTATGGGTAGGTCAAAGTGCACATGTCATGACTTTTTAGAGAGTTACATTCAAAATTTAATTAGGCTACCTTATTGTCATTTTATATGAATTAACTTGGTATCAAAATATAGTTAATAAAGCAACTTTTAATCTTATATAAGTTTTAATGTTATGAGGAAATATTTTTAAAAATTCTCAATCTCCTCTAGTATGAGAATTGTGACATTTGTTCTCTAGGTCTTCCTTCTTTAATTTATTTACTACCCTTCCAAAAAGTAAAAAATTTAACTTAAAAATACTTATTATAATATTGTCTTCGCTCAGACAAAGCTTAATTTTTATATCTTTCAATCGTATTTGTTTAAGGAGTCATAAACTAGAAATCAGACCCACTTGCTATGCCCACCTTCTACATCCTCTCTTTCCCAAATTACAAATAGTTCTCTGGCATTTTATACTATATTACTTATAACCAATAGAAAGGCAAAGTTTTATCTATCAAATGTTGTATTATATTACATTGTTTTTGGTACAGAATATTGTCTATTCCATCTTCAATTTGAAAGTTTGTCTTTCAGTGGTCACATCAAAAAGCTAAAGGTAAAACTTAAAGGCTCTTGTGCCATTGTGAGAAAGCTAGATAAATTATGATAGTTATAGAGCATTGTTTGCTTTGTGCATGTTATTATTCTGTGTTCATAGTATTTAAGTAAATTAAAATTATTTTGTGTATCAGTACCTTTAGTATAAAAAATAGTCTTAAATTTCATCAGCAACTGACAGCAAAAAACAAGAGGTTACAGATAAGTGGCATATTTTTTGTTTTTAATGTGTATTTTTGTAAAAGTAACTATGTAGAAATTAGAAACTTATAAGGTTAGATTCGGTAAGTTAATGAAAAATAATAAAAATAAAACTTCTTCACAAGGTATGCTTGCGAGCCGGTCATGCATTACACCATTTAATACAGTAATGTGAGCTACACATTTGTCGAGGGATTTACATCTTGTGTGGCAGGATTATTAGTTACACAGGTAAAGGGCAACAAAACATTAAAATTAAGTATGAGCAGATGTATAATGTTACAAGCTTTAAGATATTTATAGGATAAATAATTGTTGTATCCATTAACAATTTGCAGTCATTCTAGAAAATAAAAAAGGATAATTTAGATTTATTTCATATTTTTTATGGTGGTTACGAGGTCAGTCATATCGACCTGAATTCATATAGAGTTAGCGAAGAGTAAATAACAAATGAAATATAAGATTTTACTGAAAAGCATTTAGCATTTATTTAGGAGGTTTGAAAAATTTGTGATTGAAATTAGAAAATTTTCAAATGAAGAAAAGTATTCTTAATTTTAGCAGTCAATGCCCTGGCTTCATATATTCACAATTTTAGTAAAAATACTTAACTAAAAATTAGATTTTTTGTGTACAAAAGACATAATATTTGCTGAAAGCTTACTATGTTTTGTGAAGATATGAAAAACATTAAAAATCATAATATGGAAACTCTGATGGTCATTTTGGGGTTAAAAGGTCAGTCACACTGACTGAGCCCATAATGAGAGAGTTAACATACAGCCTTTTGGATACAAATTGCACCACTATGGAACTTTCCTGGGATTGCCAATTTTGTTGTAATCTCATTTCTTATCCAAATTCTAAGTTTAACTGAATGGACTGGATTGACCCCTTATTAGGAATGGAATGTTGACTATACTTGTAAACTTACTATGTGTATGTAAACTAAATTTGGCAAGCTTTTTGTAATAAGTTCAATTCTATTGTACACAAAAAATTAGATGTGTTACAAAAGTATTTGTACTCAAAATATTTCTATAAATTGTTTACATCACTCTAACTCAGACTCTGAGAAGTTGGAGTTCTAGATGATGTTCTTGTGAAGAACAAAATAAATATTCTTGTTCATCGTACAGTTTGCATATTGCATTTGCATAACTTCTAGAACCTCTGAAATGCACACCTACAGTTTTTTTCAGCATCCCTATATATTGTATGTGGTATTTATTCTCCTTTACCAACTAACTGTCTTTAAATCAGCAATGTTGAGTACATTGAATAGTTGATAACTTCAAATACATACTACCATGTTAAACTGTGAATGGTTATGGCATGTACATTTTGACCCAACCCTTGTACATATGGTTAATGAAAGTAACTTAATTGTTGCTCTTCCAGAGATAGTATATTTTTGTAATAAATTGTAACATATTACTATTTTTCTGGATTTAAATCATGAAAATTAAATAATGTACTATTACATTTAATACATAAGTATTAAAAATGTCTTTTAAATGTACATTTTCAAGGACAAATTTTTCAAGGTTTTTACTTTGTTAGTTCTTTCCCTGTTTAATAATGTTGTAATACTATGTTTTTTTTGCTACATAATTTGAAAGCCACAAAAACAAATTGTTTTTGATTTTATGGCAAATTGCTTTCTTTTATAATGCCATATTCATTCATTTTTTAGAATGTTAGTTAAGTTAAAAAAGTTAAGCCTTTGCAATGTCTTTACACAACTCATAGGATCATTGCTTTCAAATTCCAGTTTCAAGTGGCACAGGTGGATGAGAATAGTGACCCATTCTCCCTAGTACTTAAAAACAGGATCAAATATGATTTAACTTGTTCCCTTCCTACATCGTATCATCCTGGAAATATCAGTGTAATATATGTCAGAGAGGAGTCAAGATTTATTACAAATAAGTTTTGAATACTCAATGCCTATAAACTGTACATTGCATGCATGTATATAAATGAGAGCAGTAGGCCTAAAACGTTCTGCAAACAGTTTTGCAATGTTACATGCTAAAAGAGGGGAAGCATGGCTCAGTGGCTTCACACTTTCAACTCATAGTCTGATGGCTGCAAGTTAAAGGCTAGCTGATGCTATGTAGTTGTTAGTTGTGTTCTTGAGCAAGACACTTTATCCCAATTGTTTCAATTTACCAAGGTATAAGAAATGGGTACCAGCTGTTATCTGAGAGTTAACCAATAAAAGACTGGTATCCCTTTTTTCATGCTTAAATAGAAACATACAGCTGCAGAAGTAAAGCAACGAATGATAGAGAAGCTCTTAAGATTTACTCCAAACCTTCTGTGAAAGCATGTTTTCCTGCTGAAGATATGTAATCATCACAGAAAGTTGTAAATGCATGATTTACACAACATATAATCATTAGAAAAGGTAAGGATTCACCTGGAATGTATTACATGCATAGCAAAGGTAAATACACCTATGTGGAAAATCTAAGGAAAGAAGGTTAGTGTATGCCTTAGATTCTCTGCAAAATGCACACATACAAATGGATATCATGTAGTAATGCTCAATGGCACAATGCAGTGAAAATATTATATTTTAACTCTCTTTTTGATGTAGATATTGAACTTGTTTCGTAATCTAACATGTAACATTTTTTGTAGAAAATTGATGTGTGTTTATTTTAGATGGATTCTGTACAAAAGACAATTATCACCAGTTAACATTATGTATATGTTACATATTTATACAGTGACATCTTGAAATAATATGAAATCCTAGCCCTTTTGACGGGTGAACCTATCTCTTTAGGGTCTTTACCCCTGTAAAAGAGAGTTTCATGAGCTTTCTTTGAATGTGACATGGCAATATTTTTTTAATCCTATTTGTTCTGCATTATCACATACAAAACGATCATTATCAGTGATAATGACATTTTAGGAAATTTTTAACAATGTATTTATTGTTCTTCAATTCTCTGATTTTTAAAGCGCTCATCAATATGCAGTTTTACATGCTGATGTAAATCATTTTTCATCAATTATTGTTTTTTATTGTCTTAGGTTTAGCTGAATTTGTTTTTAACAAGTGTGTAGAGACAAATGGGCTTTCTCCTGAACATCCTGAGTTATCAAAGACCTTCAACTACCAGTATCTTGATGACATGTTTGAAGTATATAAAAATGGTCCTGGTAATTATAAATAAAAATGTTTCTAAGTGTTTTGAGTAATGAGAGAAGAAATAATGTTTCAATATTTTCCCATAGTAAAGCTTTATGTGTAGTAAGCATTTGACTACACAGTAGTCGTACGTGAATATATCTTTTGTTGCATTGCACTAACTGCTATTTGGCTTTGAGGTTGCACTAATAAACCCTAATAGTGTTTCTTTAATGTAGTTTAACAGTTTAAAACTTATTTTTTTTAGAAATCCAGTCATACTTATTACTTTCAAGTATAAGCAGATTGCTGTATTTGTTGTGTGGTTCTAGATGTTTTCTTACAATATTAGTTTACTAAAAAAGTGCTATTATGTATGCTATTATTATGTATTATTCAAATGTATTTTATATTAATCAGTATGTGATAACAGTGATAATATATACACACAAAAATATCAGTTGATTTTTAAAGTCATATTAACGTATTGTTGGTCTAGCTTACAGCTATTACCATCAAATACAAAAGCCTCAGACTTAAAACTAATTAAATCTAGTTGAGAACACTATTGTTTAAGGCAGCACTGTACAGATTAGATCTAAAATGATACTTAAAATCAAGTCTCAAAAATTTCTTAATTCTTGACTTGTGAAAGCATCAAGAATATAAAACAATTTGAATTAGTCCCATAGGATAAGAAAAAGAGGGTAAGCTTGCTATAAGCTCTAGACAGATCAGTTAAAAGCATTTTTTGGGAATATTTGAAATGTATTATTGAAAAGGTAACCATGACAAGAAAATCTCAATTAGCAAACATTTTTATCTTTGAAAACAGCATCATGCTCATTCTTGTTAAATATTGCTAAAATGTGTTTTTTGTTACAGGTATAAAAGGTGGGTTAAGCATTAAAATATATTTTTCATTAAATATGATCAAAGGATTAACCAATTGTCAATTTTTTCAATATTTTATTTTTGTTTTTAATACACTGACTGTTTTGTGAGTAGTTTGTTGATAAAAGTTTTCATAAAGTGTGAGGTGTACTGCATTGACATTTGAAGTTAATATGCTACAACTGGTCCAGAGAAACATGTAAACGCATTCCAGCATATCTACTTGTAGTGTAGTGCAAGGTTACACATGCACACATCCCAGGAAGCATGAGCACAGTTCATTATGTCTTCTGTTAGTGTCGAGCAGTGTTAGAACACACCTAACCAACCATCCTGCTAACATATATATAAACCTTTGAATATAATTTGATTTTCATACCTAGATTAATATGTCTGTGTGGTAAGTTCCACTTCATGATGAAATGAACCATTCAGTAGAGTATAGTATAGTATAGTGTAAGACTATAATGCAATTTCTACCGGTACCAGAGCAGCACCAAAACATAGTTTAGTATATCTACCAGTAGTGTAATTCAATGAAAATTTAATACTCATCCTATTAATACTAGGGGACATCTCAACAGTTCACTATATCTAATAATAGTGCACTGGAAAATAAAAATGTCACAATCTTTTGGTTAAAATTAATGTAACTTCAAACTTTGGCTATTTCAGATTTTTGTGCCTATGATGATGATGGCAGTGTTAAAGAAGATGCCCAGGTTTATACTACTGACACTAAAATTTTGCAAAATAATCATCCCTTAATGATAATGGTAAGGAAAACAAGAAGTATACTACTAGTTAAATTTATATAAATCAATGGAAACTTTGTAAAATAAATCCATTACTTTATTGATTAGAAGCTAGGAAATGTGTTTAATTAATCACAGAATAAGCACTATAATATGTAAGAAGTAGATAGATAAAAACAAATATTTCATGAATGGTATAATGCTATAGCCTTTATGATTACATAAGTTTGATTAGTTATTAATTGTTCTTTTTATTATTAGGTGCTAATTTCTAATTAGTTTATATCCCATGTTTCGGCTGCTAATCTGCTGCAACCTACAGGAAAGTCTTAAGTAAGGCTTGGATTCTATCCTGGGTAGGCTTCTTATAAAGGCTTGTTACCTATCTTTAAACTAGTGAAATAATTAATTCAATTTCTAATAGGAACAATTATGGATGAATGGATAGAACACCTGTTTTTCTAACAAGAAAATCCTAGCTTGAATCCTAACCCCTTTTTAGGGCTTTTCTTGTTAATGGAAGCACATTAGTGGCTGTTTGAAGCTCAGAATGTAAAGAAATTAGTAATTAATATCTAATAATAATAAAAAAAGTCATTGTATTGGCTTGCTAACCTTGATAATGACAAACTCTGAAAATTAAATCATTTTAACAAAAGTTGATACTCGATACATGTTACCCACTCATTATTAGTTGTAACAGTAATATTAAGAAGTAACTATAAGGCTCTAAAAACTAATAGATTAGCACTGTGCAAAACACAGCATATAATCAGTCGTCCATCGTTCACCACTGTTTACAGAACTGTAACACAAATGTCACTTCTAAACACTTCAACGACTTGAGAAGTGAAGGAAGCAAAGAAATGCTATGCACTAAGGAAAGTTTGTGGATACACAAGATATGTCCTGAAATATATGTTAATCAAACGCTTTTTTTAATAAAAACATGAAAGCATTGTATTTATTATATGATAATATGACACTAATTTCCTGATATTCCTTAATAATATGTGGGTAAATTGGTAAACCTGGCAATTTAAATTTTTAAAGAAAAATTCATTAAGCTTAATAATTATAATTCAAATAGCTGTTGGTAGAACTGATGGATATTTTTTGTAATAATTTGAATTAAAATTTTGGTTTAAGCTTTTGTGTGCTGTTTCAAAAACTCACGAACTTTGTAGTAAAGAAAGTGCTTCACTGTTCCTAAAGCAACAGTCACTTATTAAACATCATTATTAATTAAATATTATCTGGTTTTATTGATATTAAGTATAATTGAACATCTAAGTTAGGTTAACTGTTCAGTTAGTTAGACAGTATTTTTATAATATATCATGTTTTATTTTTTGCATAACCTTATTAATTTATCGGCTAGCTGAAAATCTTCTAATTCAAATTATGCATAAGATGTGCAAGAGAATTTTACAAGAACGTTAAACATGTCATATATATGTTGAAATTTGTGTTTTACTTAGGTTACATGCACTATTATATTTGAATATTATTGTGCTAGCAGAAATGTATAGGTATTACTGTAGCTTCTCAGGCAGTAAATTAGTAAACAGAACACACAAAAATCAGATACCAATCTCTGTCATTCTATGTATTTGAATACACTTTATCCCAGTGTCATCATCATATGAATAAATTGAATTGAATAATTTATATGTCTTGTGTAAGAGTACAAAATACAGTGATTTTATGAAGGTAATAAATTTTTGTGAAAGAGCAGTAAGTGTGGAATAAATTTCTATTTCCTGATACTAAAAATATATGTATAAAGATACCAAGGCACACATGAAAAAATTAAATCAACAATAAAATGCAAGAGTATAGTACTAGTAATATTTTGACTAAATCATACATAATGGAATTGTTATTTTAAAGGTTCAATCAAAACGACAGACTCTACTAGGACATCCTCTGTGTACAAGTTTGGTTAATTATAAGTGGAAAAGATATGGAAGATATGTCTACTATGGCGATCTTTTCATCTTCTTAATCTTCTTAACATTCTTGACAGGCTATGTCCTTACAACGCCTCCACCTTGTCCAGAAAAGATACTGTATGAAAGCGCTCACTGTTGGTTTGTACAGAAGATTTTAAACCTTGTATTGAATATTACTTTTTTTCATAGATTATCAAATGTAACCTTTTAAATATTTTGTAGGTTTAGTGTTCAGTTGTAATTACTCTCAAATAAATTGTTTTTACAAGAACAGTGAAATCACATACACTTACATTCAAGATGTAGCTAAATTTATAATTATTGTAAACACTATTAACTTCACTATTATTATAATTAACATACTTTTCCAAAATATTCAAAACTTAAAAAATTAAATGAAAATCTTTATGTTGCTGAAAGTTAAAAGCTCATTATGCATTTAATTTCTGTTTGGATCGTTAAGTATGCATATATTATAGTACTATTATTTATTTACTATACAGAGGTATATTGTTTAGATATAGGAGAAATAATGAATCTTCAGAATAGTTTTTGGGCTTTGTATAACTTTTTTATAACATTCTCTGAACCATTTATTGCCATGATAACATTACAGATTCTTGATGTTTTTTGACTGAAACATCTAATTCATACAGTAGTTTTAGAATTGCATATATCACCTGTGTTATAAAAAAATATTTTTTATCATAAATTTTACATAATTTCTCTATGTGCAATATTAATGATAAGTATTATGTCTCAGAAACTCCTGTTACATTTTTTATAATGTTACAAAATGAATTTGCTCTGTAACATTTTACAGATATGATAGTGAAAATTGTATTCATAAAGTACTAACTATTTTTTTAACGCAGATTCTGTTCCATTCTATAACAGAATTCTAAAATGCAATGTTTGTTTTGAAAATAGCCTGTTTCTTCAGTATCAACTTGTTTTTGTTGTTTTTCCTTGTACCCCATTCTTTCCAGTGCAAGAACTATTTCATGTTTAATAACTATGGTTAGATGAAACTTAACCACTGCTTTAGTCTTTAAATATTTATGAGATGTTGAATCCTGTGTTTTTCTGTATTTTTTTAGCTTTAGAAACAATACTTGCCCTCCTTCCATGGGTCCATGTGACGACAACTCTAGCAATTTCACACAGACTTGGTTTGCTCAGATAGGAAAATTTGTCATTTATGTCATGGCTATCATCAATCTGTTTAAAGAAGTATGATTATTTTACCAGTTTTTGTCTTCTCTCTTTATTTAAAAAATAAACTGTAAATTACAGATTTTTTGCTCCTTTACACAGAAATTATAGAGTGTTTGTGTTTTATAAGTACAAGCTTATTTTCCTGTTAGTTGTAAAATATCTAGTTTTACAGCTTCTTATTTATATAGATATAAATATCTAACCAAAGGTGAGGGAACATTGGAGTTTTCATCATGCATTTAAGCTAGTGATGCATGGACTCACCTATACATATATGTGGTTTTATGGTTCATTCATCAATATATTCATTATTCTGATAGTTTGTTAAAAGCATCTGAAATATAAGAATATTAATAACAGTAATAAGAACAACAATCTGTAAAATTTAAACTCTTGCCTCCTGATATAAAAGCATAATGTATGACTAACCCTATGCCACCCAACCTGGGAGCAGTTATTACCCAAAAGCAAAATTGAACCACAGCATGAAAAAATGTAATGAAGATGAGTTTGTAAGTAAAGTCATTTTTTCTGTTAAATATGGATTGGATTTCCATGCATGTTAAACTAATATAATGTAGCATATATATAAGTAGATTAATATTTTAATAACAAATTTTATATTTAAAATGAGCATCACAAGATAATCAAAGTTGTTTGAGTTACATGAGTGAAATCTAATTTTTCAGGTTTTCCAAATGTATGAGAAAAGACTTGCATATTTCACAGTTGAGAACTTGATTGAATGGTGCTGCTATATATCAGCATTGCTTTTTGTTTTGGACTTTACAAGTTGTTCACAAACCACTGGAATTAGACTGGTTGGTATCCCTTTTTATGTCTTTAATTGAGTTTCAATCACCAGGTTTTCATCTTTGTTATGAGATTATTTAACAAATTGTTTGTTCACACACCACTTTAATCAGGTCAGTTAATGTTTTTTTATATATATCTATATTGTTCAAGTTTCAGTGATTAACTAGGTTACTATTTTTGTTATAAACATATTTAACAAATTGCTCACACATCCCTGAGTAAGATTGGTTAGTGTTCTTTTATATATTTTTGTTTGAGTTTCAGTGCCTAGCTTGATTACTGTTTGCATTACAAACTTACTTCATGAATTGTTCACATGTCACTAGAATATGTAGGTTGGGTTGTGATCACATTTTTACTCTATTTTGCTGTAATAGCAAGATCACCAATGCAATAACATTTAACAGAGATTTGAATGTATACTTTATCAATATAGTTTGTGATATATTTGTTATTGTAAATAAAATTAATCAAATGGGATATATTTAGTGGAGGTACCAGCCCCCCCCCCCTGCCAAAGCTTATGCCATCCATTAATCTAATTTTACATTTATTTCAGATTATTATATGTCTCATTGGCCCTTTCTAGTTAAGAAAAGCTGGAGTCAGAACTGATTATAATATTTAGTAGTAAGGACGGGTTGACATAGATGAAAAGGTGCTGTTCATTTCATTTTTGCTGTGTACAACAAATTTCAAACCATAATTGTTTTCAGTAAAAATTTGTGTAAAAGTTCTTTAAATTAAATCCATCATATTCTTAAGTGTATAATCTCTCTTCTTTGTATGTGTAGTTGTCTTAAAATTTCCTTTTTTTTTAAATACAGCTTTGCGGCTGAGGACTTAAAACTTCAAATAAAGATTAATTTCAAAAGTAATACAAATGTACACTGTCATGTGCAAAAAAACTAAAAACATCCTGTAAGTTAATTTTAACCATAGAATTAATGTCTAACAGCATTCTAAGGAGGTGTTTCATATCCAGTTGAATAACATGTAACTCTAACGTAACAAAAAGTCAGTATTACAGTTAGTATTCAAATAATATGTTACTGAAATATACATAGAAAAGGTTGATTTTTTTTACCCTAATTTTGTGTCAATGGGGTCGACAAAACAAAGTGGTGGATGTTTACAAATTGTCCAGAGAAGGTGTTATTGTGTACTAAAAAGGTTTTAAAGTTTTTTTATATGCAAGTAAAATTATTGTAAAAAAAGTAATCTTAACATGTTTGACCATTCCAATTATAAATTGTTGAAATTTGCTTCTTATGACATATCCACAGTAATATATAATTTTTTGCCTCATTATGTTCACATAGGTTTCTGAACCTATGACCCTTGTATTTCAGTCCTCTTCAACTTGTGTTGCTTCAATATTTTGATATATTATGAAGTACTGTATGAAGACATTTTTCTGTTAAAAACTAGTTTAAACTCTCAAAACTAGAGACTTAGCACTAAAATAAATAACAAAATTCTAGTATTTTATTCAGTGTTAGCTTCCTTATTTATTTCAGAGCCCATATTGGAGAAGGAATTTTACTATAATTCCAAAGTTACTACATGTATCTACATGAAATGTGGCAAGATTTTAGTAAAATGTACAAGTCTGTTATACACAAAAAATCAGATGTGTTACAAAAGTATTTGATCTCAACCTTCCATATACATTACCTAAAGTGTAGTAGCTTCCATATGCACCACATAAAGTGTAATAGCTTCCATATATATTCACATAAAGTATTGTA